ACTACAATATGCAATGTATTAATTATTGTAACTGTCCTACTAACCTGTTTTGAAACTGTCTCATTGTTATTTGTTTCTCAATAAAATTAATTTTTAAAAAATCAGAAAACATCATAGGCCATTAACTAAACTCATACAGTGGATCTTAGGCCAGAAACACAACCCGAGTCACTAGCTCTGTGCCTCCCAGTGCCAACAGATTTTTCCCCACACAGCACAAGACAGGTCAACACAAGACAGGATGGCATGGCTCCAGTCCAGGCCTTGCTTACCATGTACCACATGCTGGGCCACTTGGGATCATTGAAGTAAGTAGAGTGGGCATGACTGAGGTCATAATCCCGCTTGGTCCGTTTCTTTACCACCTGCTGTTGGATCCACTCCACCTGCCAAGAGGATGAACATTTGGTGAGTGCTCAGGTTCCACCAGAGTGGACACAGCAGAAATGACAGTCCAAAGCATTTTCCGTTTGGAGTCTACAAGAGTTAAGTCACGGGCTTCGTCATGGCAACTAGAATCCCTTGGTCAGGAGGTTCAGTGATTCCCTAGAAATCCAGGGCTTTCTCATTTTCAATGCAAGCAACTAGTTTAGTCTTTTCAAGATAGATAATTTATCTCTCTCAACAATGACCTGGGCTTTTTGCTTTTTCAGAGAGTAGGACCATGCTAATTTTTAAGGTATCTTGCCATTTTTTCATCTCAAGGGTTGGCAAACTTTTTTGTAAGGTTCAAATACTAAATATGTCAGGCTTTGCAAGACATATGGTGTCTGATGCAACTAATCATTCTATCATTGCAGTACAGTTCCACAGGTTATGACATAAATGGTTATGACTGTGTTCTAGGAGAAATTTATATACAAAATCAGGCTAGCTTTGACCCATGTATCCCTCATTTTTAGGCAATTTTTTGTTTATTTTTATTTTTATTTTAGGCATCAAATTTTTAAATGTTTTGGGAACATATATCAACCAAAAAAAAAAAAAAAACAAAAAAACAAAAAAAAAACCAATCAAACATCTTGAGCAAATGCTTTAATAGCACAATTTTTTTTAATGGCTTTCTGTAACTGTGGTGGAGAAGTGTTATGTGAGAATCAGAAACCTAACGCATTCATCCCATCTCTGGCATACAGTTGGAGAAGGCACTCAATTTCCTAAGCGACAAGCTATTTGCCAGCTCTAAAACTCAAACGTGCCACCTTTGAGAAAATCCTTCCATTTAGTCACCACCTGTTCCTAAACAAAGTGACTGGGAACCTCAAGTTTCATATAAGATCTGTACCTTGTGGCAGGGCTACATGTGGTTGTCTTAAACAACAGTTCACCATTATGGAAACATAAAAATCAGCATGTTCTGCTTTCAAGGCATTGTCTCAAATATAGTATCAGCCTTGATAGAATTCCTAATTTGTTCCTAAATATTCCTTTGACTGATTTCTAGTGATAGCAAACTTAGTCACAATATCATAAGCTGGTTGGTTTTTTTTTTTCCCCCTAGTCATTTGCCCTACTTTCTACAAAGGAATTAAAAATTGGTTGGGGTAGACTTTGTAGTCTACTGCTATAATTCTGTTGAATCAGATTTTAGTATCTCCTGACTAATCAATTCAAAGACTGGGGGAGGAAAAGGAATACTTCATAAAAAATATAATTACCTCCTCCAATAACATCTGACACAGGCCCTTGAGACTATTCTTTAAGCCATTATGATAAATTTGACTATGCAACTTATATGTGCAGCCCCATCTCCAAGTCTATCCCAATACAATTGAACTAGCTCATCTCCGTATATTTGATAAAAGCAGTCTGTAGATCTGTTTAGGCAGAACTAATCTCAAAACTAATCTTATACTGCCAATATCCCTTCCCAATGGAGGCTTCAGAAATCCCCAACTGCCAACACGCTTGTGTGTACAAACCAGAAAGTATCGGATCTCCGCAGGCGTGGACTACGCCAATTCCTGTAGCAATCAGGACAGTCTAGAGTGGGGTAAGAGTGAGTAATTGCTCCTGCTGTGACACCCTAAGCATACATGTCTGCCTGGACTCACACAAATAGACAAATGGAATAAGTATACGAGAAAACCAAGTGACAGCCATTTCCTAGACAAACTGTAGGTTCTAAAATAGAACACAATCTCTTAGCAAACAGCATCTCTTCTGTAATTTTACCAAACATGGAGGCTTAGTTATAGGGCTGGTGACTTGAAGGTGGCATAGCTACTTGGCATCTAGATTTGACTGTACATCACGCTGTCTGATCACAGAGCTGCAGTCTCAAATAAAAAGCAGGGAGGGTATTTTTTTAGTGTCAAATACTATGTATTTTTCCTTGGTGCTTCATGAGTATGGGTTAACAACCTCATACTTTTTGGAGAACAAGAAAAGCATCTTTTGGATCAGAGGGTTCCTATGATTGGAAAGACCATACTCATATTTTTAAGCTATTGTCCATATATCTACTCTTGAGTTCTTTAAGGAAAACTCAGCTAATGCATTATACAGATTTTCATTCTTGCCAAGAAGCCCATTGCAATGAAACAACACTTAAAATCATTCACAGCTCAGCTCCGCCCTGGAGAAGAGTCCTGTGCTTTCCTGCCCTAGCTTAACTTCACTCTGCGAGTCCAAGAATCTAGAGCATGAAGTGCAGGACCCGTGAAATTGCATCTGGCCACCCAATTTCAGGGCACACTTGCCACCAGCTTTCTGGACAGGTCCTTCCTGTCATCACAGAGCTCTCCTCCTCTGCTGGCCAAATGAACCTTATACCTCTGCTCCCTAGCAGCCTTTGTCCAAAGATGGTCTCTTTTGTCAGATTTCACTCACCAAGCAAAACACATTAGTAGTAATTATGAGAAGCCCGGTCCCAAAATCCCAGCTGAATATATGTCTCATTATTTTGGAATTTACCAAATTTTTATGCTACACACAAAGCAGCCAATTTATCACCAATAGGAGAAAAACAGGATGTTATCATATGACTACTGACTACATAAGTTATCACATAAATTCAAATGGGAAACAAGTTATGGAGTTAATACTTAAAATGTATCCTTCACAAAGGAACAAATCAGTTCTTTTAGAAAATATATTAAAGTTAATAATTAGAACATATACTGGTAGCAAATGTCTACAGATATAACAAGGAAGTGAAAGGTACAGAAATGAACCCAAAACATATAAAAAGATGGTCTATAAAAATAGTGCTGTCCTAAATCATTAAGAAAAAAAAATTGCTTAATAAGCTGTGTTACAGGGACAACCATCAGCAGAAAGAGGAAGCTGAAGGCATTCTCATGAATTACGTCAGGATCAATTTCAATTGAGTCAAATATTTAAATGTAAGGGAAACAGGGGTTGGGGGGTGGGGGAGTAAACAAGATAAAGCTGGGGATATAGCTCAGCAGCATAGTACCTGCCTGGCAAGTGTGAAGTCATGAGTTTGATTCCTGGTACAAAAACAAAACAAAACAAACAAACAAACAAAGAAACAAACGAAAAAGAAAGAAAGAAAGAAAGAAAGAAAGAAAGAAAGAAAGAAAGAAGATATGTCATGTACAGGTATAAATTACCTATGAGGAATGCAATCATTATGTATATCTAAAATGTACCAATAAGCTTAATGAATTAAAAATAAATCAATGTAAAAACCAGTGCAGTAGTGTATGCCTGTAATGCCAATCTAGAAAGTTGAGGCAGGAGGACTCAAGCTTGAGCCCAGCCTAAGCCACTTAGCAACTGAGCAAGAACCTGTCTGAAAATACAAAATAGAAAAGTCCTAAAGATACAACAGTGCAAAGGCCCAGTATTCAACCGCCAATACCACAAAAACAAACAAAACAGAAAAAATACCATGAGAATTATGGCTCCTGTATTTTGAAAAATAATTTTTGAGAACGTGCTTAGCATGACAGAATATTAATTTACAAGTTAATTCAGCAAAATTTATGAACTGACCCACCTAACAAATCAAAATTAAAGTGAAAGACAAACATCAGAGTTCACAGCTACTACCACAGACAAAAAGCTATTGCTCCATTATATAGAGTCCTATAATCAGTAAGTGAAACACTGACTAGGAAAACGGGCAAAGTACAGAAGTATAAAAATCTCCAGAAAGGTACACCAAGTGAAAATATAAAAATGTGTTTTTTATGTGCACAGTGCTATGGCCTATGCCCCATCTCCAGAGCTGTGGTCCCCAACGGGCCAGCGCGGACATGGTAGAACCTTTAAGAGGAGGTCCCTAGGGCCACAGGGCATGCACCTAGAAGGGGATTGGGGGTCCTTAGTATCCCCCTTCTCTGTCTCCGCTTTCTCTGCACTTGTTACTACTTGTGCTCCCACAAGTCACTACTTGACACCTCAGCCGAGGGCGAACCCAAGCCAGTGCCCACCGCATCACCTGCCTACTGTAGATCACGAACTTTAAACTCGAAACCTGAGATATAGAAAGCTCTTTTTCTTTCCAAGTAGCCTGTGTCAGATGCTTCCTTATATTGACGAAAAATACTGATACACATTGAAGAGAAAAGCAAACTAAAAATAAAGACGGTTAATAATATTGTTAGTGATGGTCTCAGAAAACAGCCGTGCTAGTGGTGAGAGGAATGGAAATTTGTACAACTCTATGAAGTACAAATCAGGCAAAATCTATAAAAATGAGAAAATGGGCAATTCCATGTCTGGGAGCATATCCCGCGAATTTATTTACATGCACAGCTGGTTTCGGAGAGCTGCGTCATCTCGGATTTGCCACCAGTCACTGAGGCAATCTTTGTGGGCCACTTTCTTGCTGTAAAATGAAACAAAGCAGATTGTCTTGGTTCTTTTTTTTTTCTTGCTTTCAAGTTTTACCTACACAGTCTTGTTACCTAGTGTGACCAGGAATACAAATAATACATAATACAACAGAATGTAACGCAACCATAAAATAGAATGAAATGGATTTTATGCATTGACTATATCATACTACATGTGTGTTACAGTTTAAAGGAAAAAAAATAAAGATATAAATGGTCAATAAATGACACTGCAATATTTACATCTCTTTGAAGTGATTACACAATGAAACCTGGTAACACTGTTACGTTATAAAGGAAAACTAGGTATCCTGGAAATAAGCATAAGAGGCAAGCCTCAATCACATCCCCTTTAGATCTTGAGTGTTTCCTTTGGCTTTCTGTTTTTCTCTTTTTGGGATAGGGTCTCATTCCGTAGTCCAACCTTGTCTTGCACTTAATATGGAATTCAGACCAGCCTCTAACTCACTACAGATTACTATGGCATGTGCCACCACACCCAGCTGACAGTGTACCTTTTCTGTTGTTAGGTAGGATCTTTCTAAATTGCCCAGAATGGGCTTCAACCTGCAGCCCTC